AGAGCTTGACAAGCATTGTCTATTTTTCTCAGCTGAGTCTCCATCCCCCACTAAATAGTACTCTGCCCAAAGACAGAAAAAAGACAAAGCATTGTCTATTTTTCTCAGCTGAGTCTCCATCCCCACTAAATAGTACTCTGCCCAAAAGACAAGAAAAGACAAGCAAAAAGAATTTTTTTCAGCTGAGTCTCCATCCCCCACTAAATAGTACTCTGCCCAAAGACAGAAAAGCTTGACAAGCATTGTCTATTTTTTCTCAGCTGAGTCTCCATCCCCACTAAAAAATTACTCTGCCCAAAGACAGAGAGAGCTTTTTCAAGCAATGTCTATCCCCCAAAATAGTACTCTCTGCCCAAGACAGAGAGCTCCATCCCCCTATTTTTCTCAATAGTACTCCCCCCAAAAGACAGAAAAGACAAGCATTGTCTATTTTTTCTCAGCTGAGTCTCCATCCCCCACTAAATATGAAGAGAGCTCAAGCATTGCCCAAAGACATCCCCACTAAAACTTGACCAAAGACAGAGTCTATTTTTTTCTCAGCTGAGTCTCCATCCCCCACTAAATAGTAAAGAAAGACAGAGAGCTTGACAAGCATTGTCTATTTTTTCTCAGCTGAGTCTCCATCCCCCACTAAATAGTACTCTGCCCAAAGACAAAGAAAAAGCATATGAGTTTTTTCAAGCAATGTCTATTTTTTTCTCAGCTGAGTCTCCATCCCCCCAAAATAAATAGTACTCTGCCCAAAAAAAAAGAGCTTGACAAAATTAACTATTTTTCTCAGCTGAATGTCTCCATCCCCCACTAAATAGTATACTGCCCAAGACAAAAGCTTGAAAAGCATTGTCTATTTTCTCAATGAGTCTCCATCCCCCAAAAATAAAACTCTGCCCAAGACAGAAATGAGTTTGGAAATTGTCTATTTTCTCAGCTGAAAAGAATCCCCCACTAAATAGTAAAAATGCCCAAAGACAGAAAAGAGCAAAAATTGTTGTCTTGAATTTTTCTCAAGCTGAAAAGAAAATCCCCCACTAAATAGTACTCTGCCCAAAGACAGAAAAAGCTTGACAAAAATTGTCTATTTTTCTCAGGTGAGTCTCCATCCCCCACTAAATAAGAAAAAAAAAGACAAGAAAGCTTGACAAGCATTGTCTATTTTTTCAGAAAAAAAATCCCCCCCACTAAATAAAATCTGCCCAAAGACAGAAAAAGAAAAGCATTGTCTATTTTTCTCAAATAGTCTCCATCCCCCCACTAAATAGTATATGCCCAAAGACAGAGAAAATGAAAAGCATTGTCTATTTTTTCTCAGAAAAAAAGATATGAAAGGAAATTTCTCAAAAAAAAGAAAAAATAGTACTCTGCCCAAAACAAAAAAATTAAGAAGAAAAAGCTGAGAAAAATAGTACTCTGCCCAAAAAAGAGAAAGGCAGAAAATATTTTCTCAGCTGAGTCTCCCATCCCCCACTAAATAAAAAAAACCAAAGACAGAAAAAAGAAAAAAAAGGCATTGAAAATTTTTTAACCAAATGACTGAGTCTCCATCCCCAAGAAATAGTAAAATGCCCAAAAAGAAAGAAAAAAAAGACAAGAAAAATGAGTCTCCATCCCCAAAAAAAAAGTAAAAAAAGACAGAAAAATAAAATTGTCTATTTTTCTCAAGAAAAAAAATCCCCCCACTAAATAGTAACCAAGATGAAAAGAAAAAGAAAAACAAAAAATGTCTCGTTTTCTCAGAAAAAAGAAAAAAAAGAAAGGCACTAAATAGTACTCTGCCCAAAACAAAAATATAACAAGAAAAAATATTTTTTCTCAAAAATCTCCATCAGATGAAAAAAAAAATAAAAATCTGCCCAAATGAAAAGAAAGAAAGGCTTGACAAATATAATGCATTGTCTATTTTTCTCAAAAAAAAGAAAAAAAAAAAATAAAGGCTGCCCAAAGACAGACCAAGATGAAAAAATTGTCTAAAAAAGGCTCAAAAATATAATCCCCCAAAAATAGTACTCTGCCCAAAGACAGAGAGCTTGAAAAGCATTGTCTATTTTTGCTCAAAAAAAAGAAAAAAAAATCCCCCACTAAAATAGTACTCTGCCCAAAGAAAAAAGAAAAAATGAAAAAAAAAAAAATCTAAAAAAATTTCTCAGCTGATGAAAAATCCCCAAAAAAAACCAGAAAAAATATAACCAAAAAAGAAAGAGAAAAGAAAAGCATTGTCTATATTTTCTCAAAAAAGTCTCCAGAAAAGGCAGAAAAATATAAGAAAATGAAAAGACAGAAAAAGCTTGAAAAATATTGTCTAAATCTCAAAAAAAAGAAAAATCCCCCAAAATATAAATAAGATGAAAAAAAAAGAGAAAATAAAAAAAAAAAAAAATTGTCCTATTTTTCTCAAGCTGAAAAAAAAAAATCCCCCACTCAAAAATACTCAAAAATGAAAAAATAGAAAAAAAAAGACAAAATATTGTCTAAAATTCTCAAAATATAACCAGTCTCCAAAAAGGCCCAAAAAATAAAAAAAAAAAAAAAGAAAAAAGAACAAGCAAAAAATATTTTTCTCAGCTGAAAAGAAAAAAACTCAAAAAAAAAAGGCTGCCCAATATAACCAAGATGAAAAGAAAAAATTGCAGAAAATTTAACCAAAAATGAAAAGTAAAAAAAAAATAGTACTTCAAAATAAAAAGATGCCCAAGAAAAAAAAAAAAAAAAAAAAAAGAAAGGCAAGAAAAATATCCATCCCCCAGATGAAAAAAAAAAAAAAAAAAACAGAAAAAATATAACCAAGATGAAAAATGAAAAAAAAAAGGCAGAAAATCCCCCAAAATGAAAAAAAAAATGAAAGGCAGAAAAAATTGTCTATTTTTCTCAGCTGAGAAAAAAAAAAAAAAAAAAAATAGTAAAAAAAAAAAGAAAAAAAATAACAAGCATTGTCTAAAAAAAAAAAATCCCCCAAAAATAGTACTCTGATGAAAAAACAGAAAGCTTGAAAAATATAACTAAGATCAAAAAAAAAAAAAATCCCCAGAAAATATACTCTGCCCAAAACAAAAAAAAAAAAAGCAAGTCTATTTTTTATCAGCTGAGTCTCCATCCCCCACTAAAAAATTACTTGCCCAAAGAAAGAGAAAAAGAAAAAAATTTTTCTCAGCTGATAAAAATCCCCACTAAATAGTACTCTGCCCCAAAAAAAAAAAGACAAGCATTGTCTATTTTCTCAGCTGAGTCTCCGCCCCCCCAAAAAATAGTACTCTGCCCAATACAGAGAAGATGAAAAGCAAAAAAAAGGATTTTCTCAGCTGAGATGAAAAGAAATCCCCCCAGAAAAATAGTACTCTGCCCAAAAGACAGAAAAAAAAAAAAATTGTCTCTATTTTCTCAGCTGAAAAAAAATGACTAAATAGTAAAATCTGCCCAAAGAAAGAGAAAAATGAAAGCATTATCTAAAATTCTCAGCTGAGTCTCCATCCCCCACTAAATAGTAATATAATCCAAAGACAGAGAGCTGTCTAAAAAAAGAAAAAAAAGCACTAAAAATATAACCAAGATAAAAAAAAAAAAAAGAAAAAATATCTGAAAAGAAATCCCCACTAAATAAAACTCTGCCCAAAGATGAAAATGAAAGCAAAAAAAAAAGAAAAGCAGTCTCCATCCCCCCTAAATGATCTGCCCAAAGAAAAAAAAAAAAAAAGCATTGTCTAATATTTCTCAAAGCTGAGTCTCCATCCCCCCCCAAAATAGTAAAAAAAAAGAAAAATAGTAGAAAAATATGCAGAAAATTTTCTAAAAAAGAATGAAAAAAAAAAAAATGCAGAAAAAGATGTAAAAAAAATGTCAAAGAAAAACCTTTGGATGATTTTTAGAAAAAAAAAAAAGTAGGCTTTCATTTTTAACTCATCAAAAGTTTTCCTCGTTTTTTCAATTTTTCAGCATATGACTTTTTGTAGGATAAAAGAAAAAAAAAAAAAAAAAAGCTCTGTTTCATTAACTGAGCTTGAAATAAAGATAAAATCTTTTAAAATTTAACCATGGAAAAGAAAAATTTAAGGTTTCATCAAGAAAAATATAAAAAAGATGAAAAAAGGGAAAAAGCTTGTGGTGGGGACCCAAGATGAAAAAACAAAAAAGGATACAGGAAAAATATACATAAGATGAAAAAAAAATAGAAAAAAAATAAAAATAAACATCATGAAAAAAAAAAAAAAAAAAAAAGCCAGAAAAAAAATATATTTATATGAAAATTTAAAAGAAAAAAAATAAAAAGAAAAATTTTTATATGTGATGAAAAGAAAAAATGTGATGGAAAAATTGGATTGAGATGTGAAAAAAAAGAAAGGTGTATAAAAGTATAAAAGACGTGAAAATCCGAAAAGATTGGAAAGGCAGATCACCTGTCTTGCTCAAGATGAAAAGACCAAAAAGAAAAAAATGTTGCAAAATATGACCTCTCAAAACCCAAAATAATCAAAAAATCCAACCACCAGGAAAAGAAAAAAATCACAGAAAAAAAAGGCGAAAGGAATATAAACCCAATTTGGTGGCAAAATGGTGAAAAAAAGGCTTCAAAATGCAACCAAAATTTAAAAGAAAAAACGGCTGAAAATATAAATTGATGGAAAAGGAGAATCAAAGGGCATCAATAAAATTTTCTCAAGATCAAAAAAAAAAAAGGTAGAAAATTACCATTTTGAAAAGAACCAGTAGTGGTTTTCTTTTAAACCAAATGTGAAAAAAAAAGAAAGTTATCTAAATATTCTTTGTGTGTGTAAAAGAAAAATTAGAAAAATGGTAGAAAATATAACCAAAAAAGATAAAAATGAAAAAAACTTTGTATAAATCCAAAATGTAACAAAGATGAAAAAATTTTGTTCTAAAAGAAAAAATAAAATATCCGTGAAAAAAATGGGAAAATGAAAATGGCAGAAAATATATATAATCTGAAAAGACTGTTAAATGATGAAAAATATAAACAAAATGAAAAAAAAACGTAAAAGAAAAAAATATTTCTAAGATGAAAAAAAAAAAAAAAAAAAAAGAAAAAAAAAAAAAGAAAAAAAAAAAAAAGAAAAAATAAAACTGGGAGAAAAGAAAAAAAAAAAAAAAAAAAGATGAAAAGAAAAAGAAAAAAAAAAGAAAGGCAGAAAAAAATATAACCAAGATGAAAAAAAAAAAAAAAAAAAGGCAGAAAAAATATAACCAAGATGAAAAAAAAAAAAAGCAGAAAAATATAACCAAAGATGAAAAAGGAAATGAAAAAAAAAAAAATATAACTAAAAATGAAAAGAAAAAAAAAAGGCAGAAAATATAACCAAGATGAAAAAGAAAAAAAAAAAAAGGCAGAAAATATAACCAAGATGAAAAAGAAAAAAAAAATGAAAAATATAACCAAGATGAAAAAAAATGAAAGGCAGAAAAAGAAAAATAAGATGAAAACAAAAAAAAAAAAAAAAAAAAAAAAAGTCAGAAAAAATATAACCAAGATGAAAAAAAAAAAAAAAAAAAAAAAAAGAAAAAAAAAAAAAGCAGAAAAATATAACCAAGATGAAAAATAAAAAAGAAAAAAGAAAAAATATAACCAAGATGAAAAGAAAATGAAAGAAAAAAATATAACCAAGATGAAAAGAAAAAAAAAAGAAAAAAATAACCAAGAAAAAAGAAAAAAAAAAAAAAGAAAAATATAAAAAAAAAAAAAGAAAAAAAAAAAAGATGAAAAAATATAACCAAAAA